CCAAAACAAACAAAAAAACCAACACTTAAACAACACTATCACCCAAAACAAACACTGAAATACTACTAGAACTAGAATAAAGCCCTTCGCACTGTCGACAATCTCCATCGAGCTGACAAAGACAGCAACACCCGAGGCCGACCACCCACAAGCACCGAGTCACTCCCCAAGAAGCAAAACCAGAAACTACCAAACGCCTACCTAGATTCGCAACTTAAGATCCAACTCCACGCCAAGGTGGAAGACCCTGAACCCACTACCCAAAGTCCACTTTCCAATCCACCCCAACACCACCGGCCACCAAGGCCCGAAACCAACACAGCCCACGATCCGGGCTCGCCTGCTGTCTCCTCAATCCGGCACCAGGAAAAGAGAGACATGGGAAAGAAAAGGTCACAAATCTTTACCCTGACCACCACCACCACAAAGATGTCGAGGCCGCAGGCCTACAGAACTGTCCCGAAGAAGCACCAGCCCACCACTGCGTAGCCGTCGGGAAGTCAGCAAACCTCCTCTCGACATGGCAACCGGGACGACGAAACCTACTCGAGGGTGACTCGCCTCCTCCCCGACTGAGATCTGCGGCTCCTTGCGGCAACTCTCAGGGAATCGAGCCACACGGCTCGGTGACGATCACCGCCGCGGAAGCCCGACGAGATCGGCAAGGAGGCGCAAATTCAAATTTTTCGAGTTTTTTTCGGGCGAAAGGGTTTTTTGTGCGAAAGGTTTTTTTTTTTTTTTGGGCAAATCCCTTCAAGTATTTAAAGTTTCTATTCAGTCACTTTTAAGCCAACATTTCAAAGTTTAACTACCGACATCATAACAAGGTTCAAAAATTCAGAAATTCCATTACCTTACACATTCACAATGCTTTGAATTCATTCAAAATAAATACAGACTATGTATGAAACATGCTCAGTCTAGAAAAATATATAGCACAATACAATGCAAGTGAACGAAATTATGCTTATGTGGCAGAAAAAAAAAAAAAATAGACCCAACATTTCTTTAAGTCTATTTTAGACTAAGTAGAGACCTAGTCTCTTTACATTGGAGTTAATTTTATTATTTTATACATTTTTGTCTATGTCATCCAAGATTTTGGTCTATTTATATGCCACATCTACAAAACATTGTAGATGCCCTAGTTACTCCAAACCCATACACAAAAGATGCCCAATAACCAGGCATCAATAAACAAGCAAAGAACAACCCACGAATGTACCAAATATGTAATAATCACCACCTTCAACCATCTTTTAAGATCAAAATTTCACCAAACAAAACTGTTACAAGAAAAGCCAAACAACTTCTCCATACAATCCACATTCCGTTTCTGTGTATTCATACCATCACTTTCTTCATTGCATGAACCATACTCTACCTTTCGTTATCCTTTTTCATCTACATATCTTTCTTTAGGGCCAGAGCTCTCTTTATGATACTGACGGTAGCAAAGACAAACACCATCACAACTATCTTTTTCGAGGCCAACAACCTCAGATTGACCCTCAAACCATGACTTCTCATGAAACACACTCCCATTTGGACCAGCCACAGAGCCCATGAAACAATGGAGCAGAAAATCACTTTCAAAGTCTCCATAGGCCCACAGACACTTGCCACATCACCCTTCACCTCCACATAGGACCACCTGGCGCACGCCTGGCTATAATCAGTAGCCTGGTTCAGCCCGAGCTTCTCGTTCAACCAACTCGACAGGTAGACAAGAAATGAGGCCAGCCAAGCAATCTCGTCGTTCGAGAAAGGCCTTTTCATCCAGTCACCTTTGTATTTAATCTCGGTCCGTTTTTGGTTGCCAAACCTTCTGGGGCTGAATATCTCGTCCCTTAATTGCTGGCTGTCTGAAGAACGAAGATGGGCTCCGGGTGAGGTTTTCGTGATAGGGCTGCCAAACAACTGACTTAGTTGTGCCTTGAGGGAATCGAGGCACTGGAGGTTCCGTGACAAATTGTTTCCCGAGATTGACTGTAGCTCAGATTCTGCACGCAACAGAAAGAGCTGCAAAAAAAAAA